TAGGAAACAAGGAGGACCCTAAGAAGGATGTGTGGATCACCTTGGGAAGGGGAAACAGAGATCTCCATGAGTAAACTGGGAATGGGGGGGAATAGAGAGGAGAGGATAGAGGATTAGAACATGAGGGAATAGAACAATAGGGAATAGGAGAGGGCCAAGTGGGAGAGCAATGAAAGAGATACCATGATAGAGGGAGACATCATGGTGATAAGGAGAAACCAGATGCTAGGAAAATTCCCAAGAATCCACAAGGATAACTCCAGATTAGACTACTAGCAATAGTGGTGAGGGTGCCTGATCTGGCCTACCCTGGCAATCAGATTGGTGAATACCAAATCCCGTAAAGCCTGTGCAACAACCACAGACTACACACACCACCATTCCCCCTTTGCCCCCCACCTCTGATTCCATATCCTTGTCTACAACTTCAAAAGAAGACTTCTGTGCCCCACATTGGGTGCCAGTTTCCCTGACCAGCAGGGCTTCAATGGGTTCTTGACCACCCTAAGGATGGAATGATAGGGACAGGAGATACAAAGGAAATACACAAAGTCAAGATTCTGATCAAGGTGCAACTGTATTTTTCTCCAGGAGGGTTTATTTAGTTCCTGCAGGGTAGGGGGAGCAAGAAGCTGCATAGGGTGGGACAAGCTAACAGGATGTTTATGTAGGATGTTTACAGGGTGAAAGGGTCAAGGGCTCTGACTCAATGTCCTGTTGCTAGGCAACCTGACTATAACATGATCTAGTTCCCTGTCTTATGGGGGTCTGTATTTTTCCACTTACTAGAGAGTCTATCCTTGTCCCTGACATCACTTCACCTCGGGCCAGACTAGATCTAGGGACCCCATGTCTACAACTTCAAAAGAAGATTTCAGCTTTATTGGAGCACAGACCTTCAGTTTTACTGGAGCACATGGCAGATCTAGGGACCCTGTGCTGATAGGTGTGCTGGAGGCCAGTCTGATCGTAGATACCCAAGAGACTAGATCAGATCTAGGGATCCCTGACTGAACCCCTTCCACTTGGCTCCATATCCTAGTTGATGACTTCAGAATAAGACTCTGGCTTTACCAGAGGCCAGGCCAGATCTAGGGACCCCTAGATGCCAAACCCCAGAGGGGACACCCTACTAGACCTGAAGATTTGCTAGTCACCAGAACCCTTGGCTATTTAGGCCAGAAGACCTGAGAGAAAAGAGAAACCAAAGAACAAAACATACATCTAACATAGACAAACTTAGGAATCAACACCTACTGCTGGTAGCTAGTAGCCATGTCAGAGGAATAGCAGGTTGCAATTGGGGTTCAGGGTATCAGCCCACCAAAAGAAAAACTCTCTGATGGGTATATCTCACTTAAGCAAGGCTTACCAGAATAGAGACTCCAGAATGTCTTTTGCTTCTGTTGTGTCTTCACATGTTGCTGCTATAATCTTTTTTCTGGTATCTTACATGATGTATTTAGATATGGGGAGTCTCCCACTGCCTGTATTATGGTGTGTTTATCTCATGAATAAATTCTGATCTACTGAGTATTTATATCTGTGGATTGTCAGGAAGATGATTCCTCCTGAAGTTGTATAATTTTCATGAATAAAAATGAATTCAAGGGTAGCCTACACAATCAGGGCCCATTAGTTCTCCCTAAGGATCTGCTTCTGATCACAGCTCAAATTAATGATTGACGTGAGCCAGAATGGCTAAAATTTCTTTAATTTTATTGCTGAGCACCACTATCTGATACAAAGCTTCAAAATAGATTTAGATTAGACCACATGCCTTGCTAATGGTTTTTAAGATAAACATTTTCAGAAAAACTATCTATAGTTCACAAGGGCATGGAAATGCAAACCAAAATGACTCTGACATGCCATCTTAAACCTGTCAGAATGGCTAAGATCAAAACCACAAGTGACAGCTCATGATGGATAGAATGTGAATCAAGGGCAACACTCCTCCATTGCTGGTGGGATTGCAAACTTGTACAGCCACTTTGGAGGTCAGTGGTGGTTTTTCAGAAAACTGGGAATCAACCTACCACAAGATCCACTAATATTGCTCTTGGGCATATCCCAAAAATACTCAATCATACCACAAGACACTTACTCAAATATGTTCATATCAGCTTTATTTGTAATAAACAGAACCTGGAAACAACCTAGATGTCCCTCAGCAGAGGGATGGATAAAGAAAATGTGGTATATTTACACAATGGAATATTACTCAACTTTTGTTTTGTTTTGGAGACAGCATTTCTCCGTGTAGCTTTGTGCCTTTTCTGGAACTCACTCTGTAGCCCAGGCTGGCCTCGAACTCATCGAGATCCTCCTGCTTCTGCCTCCTGAATGCTGGGATTAGAGGCGTGTGCCACCACTGCCAGGCATAGTACTCAACTTTTAAAAACAAGGACACCAGGAAATTTTAAGGCAAATGGGTGTAACTAGAAAAAAAATCACCCTGAATGGACTAACCCAGATCAGGAAAGACAAACATGGTATGTACTCACTAATAAGTAGACACTGCTGTAAAATAAAGAACTATTCTACAATCCACAGACCCAGAGAGACTAGATAGCAAAGAGGGTTCATGGGGGGAACACCCTTGGAAGGGGAAATAGAAGAGATTTCATGAGTGGACAGAGGGCAGGTGAGGATGGGAACATGAATGATCAGGATGTGGGGGGTGGGGAGATGAAGGAGAGTAATGAAAAAGACTACTGGAAAGGAAGGAGTATTTTGAGATCAGTTAAAAAAACCTTGCACAAGGGAATCTCCCAGGAATGTACAAGGAAGACCCCAGCTTATAGTAATACCATATACATACGCAAATTGGCCATCTCCTGTGACCAGATTGGTGCCTAGCCCAATTGTCAACAGAGAAGCATTATCCAGTAACTGATGGAAACAGGACAGACCCACAGCTAAACATTAGATGGAGTTTCAGGAATCTTGCAGAAGAAGAGGAGAAGAGTGAAAGAGCCAGAGGGGTCAAGGGCACCACAAGAAAACTCAGAGAATCAACTAACCTAGGTTCATAGGGGCTCACAGATATTGAATCAACAGCCAGGGAGCCTACATGGGACTGACCTAGGCACTCAGCGTATATGTGACAGTTGTGTGTTGTGGTCCTCCTGTGGGATTCCTAATGGTGGGAAGAGGGGCTGTCTCCAATCCTTTTACAGGCTTTGGAGCACCTACTCCTCATGCTGGGTCACCTCATCCAGCCTTAATACACAGGGAGGCACTTAGTCTTACTGCAGCTTGGTATGCCATGTTTTGTTGATATTAATGGGAGACCTGCCCTTTCCTAAACAGAAATGTAGGAGTGGATGGGGTGTGGGGTAGAAGCAGAGGTGGGATGGGGCAGAGGGACTG